TCTGACAGTCCATAAACGTAATAAAACTGACCAATTCTCTGCCTAATTATCGTCAAAGTTACAGCTAGAAAGCTTGGTCCAACACATGTGTGACGTTCATTCATGTTGTAACTTACAGATGCTTCATCCCTGAGGGTCGCAAGGATCCAATTCTGGGTTTATCCACTGGAGCGGTGAGGAGAAACATGAACGCAAGAGAAAAGAAGGATTTAATCCTCCTTTAAAAGTTGGTATTTATGTCATTTAACTACATTTCTCTTTGCAACAGTCAAATACACCAATAATACATTTATAAAAGGCCATTTTTTTCCTTTGTTTACCCCATTTTACAGTCAAAAAGATCATTTAGAACCTAAAAGTKGCTTTTAGACTTGTGCAGATTTGTGTTTTAAGCCTTTTCCAGTCGAAATGAGAGGTGAGGCATTAAGGACACTATCTAAAGCCTGAAACTGCCTTTAAGCTGATGATCAATCTTAAACCACATTGGAGCTTTTGTTGATCATTTCTGCTCCTCTTTAACTTTACTGTAACTTAATTTAACTCATTTTGCTTCATTTTTTGTCAGTAAAAATCCAATTGCAGTTGTGTTTTTCTTTTTTTCCTTTTGTCAAATCAGTGGTAATCACAGCAGCGGGCTAAAAGTGCCAATTTAAATTCAGCCGTGTCTTTGTAATTTTAGAACCCGTTAGACCAATTCTTGTAGCGCTAACAATCATCATTTTGTCCACCATAAAAGCCTCTTTCAGGTTGTCAGGCCGGGCTGTGCTTTAAGCTCCGTCTCGTTTGTCTCTTATCAGCCCTCATCAGCAGGCAGGAGAAAGAGGCTGGAAGAGATGGAGGGAGGAGGGGGAGAGGGGGGGGGGATGCTCATCCGAGAGCCTAAAGAATGTAGCATCCTTATCAAAAGCCCGGGTGCTGAGCCTGGGTTAAAAATAGAAACCAAAGGAGATTGGCATCGATTTCTGCAGGCGCTGACGGCCCGATTGACAGCAGCACCGCAGCATCGGGCTGTTGAGCCATCGAGGGAATCCGCCAGACTGCCTATGATGAGATGAGATGGGAAGATAACTTCTGACAAGCCCTCCACCCGCCACCCGTTTCTAATCACCCCGTCTCCACGTACACACAAACATGCACACATGGAGAGAAAAAGTAATTACCACATGCACACACACACACACATTTGCTGCCCCCTGAGCAAGTAATGGGTCTTTGGCTGGCTGAGCATCCACCTGTCTTGTGTCTCCTGCCAAGTCAAAGCTCATGTGCTCACACACATACAAAATACCTCAGGAAGTCCCTCCACGACCAGCCGCCACCGTCCTTAAAGGCTTATCTCACTCAATTATCTTCCATCGGTGAATACAGCCTAATATCTGTGGAGGGGGGGGGGGGTGGAGGGGTGTCAGTGACCTTAGTTTTACTGCCGTAACCGAACCGCAGCGAACAAAGTGATCATTGTGATTAAGTCTATCTTTTAAGCGCATCCCCGCGTCATCCGTAGCAGCAATCCAAGTCGAGCAAATGGACTCGGTGGCCTTCCAGCGACACTCCGGAGATGATGAAAGTCAGGTTTTTCAAACGACTCATTTGTTCGTTGATTATGCCCTGATGATTGTTTAGGAGGTGGCCAGCAAATGAAGCGGAGACGACTCATTTTCTAAACAAAAACACACAAAGAAATCAAGTTCCCCATTAGATTGATCACTTTTCGTGTTACTGGTCTGCATGAATAGGCTAGTACAAGACTCTCTAATGCAATTTGGTCAAATTTATTTTGATAAAAGGCCGAGAAAAAGGAAGAAGCTTCAAAAGAGAGTGTAAAGTCAGACATAAGTAGGCTATACAGTTTTGTGTTTTTAATGTGTTGCTCTGTCCTCTTTTTTTGAGTCAGCTATGAAATTCAACTTAATAAAAAAATAATTAATTAACTTAAGGGCACAGGTCAGTATTAAAAATACCTGCACTTTTTTTCTTGAATAGTAATCTAGTTGTGTTTTGATACCTTCAGCTTGGATATCTTTAACTTAACAATCAAAATGAGCAAAAAAAAAACCCTACAAAGTAGTTTTTAGATTCTTACCTTGGCTGATTGTAACAAACCCTGGCACTTTGTCTCCCTACGACTTGAAAAGCCCAGTTTTTTAGCCTTTTTTTATGTTTCTGGAGCTGGGGCGGTTCTAGGGGCGGGGTCACAGGGGCCACAGCTAAAATCTGATTGGCCCCCTGAAGTTCCCCTGTCCTGTCACTCATCTGTCCTTTACCTGGGAGTGATGTTGGTGGATGCAGTTCCACAACCAAACACTAGARGCGCTAATGAGTCAAAAGTCCAGCATGAATAAAGTTTACAAACATTTCTGTTCTTAAGAGTTTTTGAACAATCCTGCAGAAAAAAGTCTTTCAACTGATAAATGACGGCTGGATTTTCTCAAATACTGTTTGAAAGTATTGGATCTATGTACAGTAAAAATGTATGTAAAAGGTGGTAAAGGAAAATTTATTGTGCAAACTTTTTAAAAAAAAATTACATTACATTGTAGGTGTTTGTGTGACTGGCTAAATGTTTACACCTTACCAAAACTGGGGATTTGTGTGAAAGGATGTTGAACAAATACTCGGCCCTTAGTGGCTCCCTGATGGCCCCTTACTCAGAAAAATCCTAGATCTGCCACTGAATGACGAAATGACGAAAGACCTGACATTTGTTAACTTCCAAACCACGTTGTCTGGCCTTCATTTAAAGTTTACACATGCATGTTATTTATTTATTCATTTATTTATTTATTTATTTATTTATTTATTTTTATGAATGCTTTCCACGTGAGGGACCACTGAGTCGAGGTGTCCAGATGTGGGGAAGGGGGGAGGTCTTTCCTCCATCAGAGACCCAAATGTTTCCTGGAGAAGTTGCGTGTTGATCTTCCACTGGATTCCAGATAAGTTTAATTAGAAACTGATCTGCTCAACTTGACTGAAACAATATGAATAAAAAAATAGTTTCAGTGAACAAAACTTTATGTAAAAACAAAGAAAAAAATTATTTAACATTTTAAGACAGTTTTAAACCATGAAGTTCATATAAAGCAGATAAAGGTCTTTACTATATCATAAGTTAGTCTGCTGGAGATGTTTATTTGTTTTTTTTTTTTGTTTTGTTTTGTTTTGTTTTTTTGGTAGAAATCCACCTCTTTCCACTTTTTGTTCAAATAAAATCATCAATATAATGAAAATAATCAAAAGAAGCTAAAAGTTTGTCTTTCTCGGTTAGTTAAAACAGCCTCAGAGTCAACAACTCTGAGCTACTTTTAGAGATACTTTGAAATGTATGAGACTTTTAAAAACTTTATTTATTTATTTATTTATTTATTTATTTATTTATTTATTTATTTATTTATTTATTTATTTATTTATTTATTTTCCTGGAAGGGCTGATGCAGTTTTCTTCAGGTTTCCCGCATGTGTAAAATAAGGCAGTGTGTGTCTCCCTCTGGTGGTTAAAGTTGGAAATTCTGGTTCAATCTGGCAACATTGCATCTTTTTTATGAGCTATTTTATCTTGTTTAAGTATTATTTAAACAGAGTTATAGGGTGGACTTCAGTTTAAAAATTTGGCATGAAAAATGTCAGGCAATATGCATTCCTTCGAATGATATCAGGCCTTTAATATAAGCGTGTCTTCAGGGAAGGTGCCGAGCAGCTGGTGGAGCTTTCCAAAGCCCAAGTGATGCAGGTCATCAAGAAGCTAAAACCATCCCTTCCCCTGATTTTTAATGGGCTGTACGAGATGTGTAATAAAGTAAATAGACAAGACTGGAGTTGTGACAAATCAAAAACATCAGGAACGCATTAAGAGTAAAATGGTTAGGATTGCAGTTTGATTACAACAGATGGTTTGATCTTGGACAAATTACTGCTTAGCTTCTAGTCTGCACCCCAGAATACTAAAGCAGTGTTCTGTTCAGTTTAATCGCTTACAAAACATGCTTATCTTTAAGTGAGTGAAATGCAAAACACTTAAAAATCCGAACAGTGTTTATGTACTTTACAATGGAYTTTGTGTGGAAACTTTTGCCTAAAAAACGTGGAACTATGTGGAATATAACATTTAATGGTTTTCAAAGCATACACTTCAGCAGGAGTAGGGCAGTCCTGGTCCTCAAGGGCCACTATCCTGCATGTTTTACTTGTGCCTTTGCTCTAACACACCCAATTCAGTTACTGCATTACCATGTCATGGTCCGGAGAAGACTGTTTATTACATATTCGTTCCCATCATGTGTGCAGKAGCAGAGAAACTTCTAATACATGCAGGATTGCCTACAAGCTGTTCTATGGGTAGAAAATCTAACAGAAACACTAATGACTCAAACGAATCGTGTCTCTAACTTGGATTAAAAATCCAACAAATGCAAAAATTTCGGCAGATAATTTTGTGTAAAGGTTAAATATTGTTTCATTATACATAAACCTGCTCATTGCATCATTTGATGAATACAAGATCGTTTTTTGTTGTTTCAATGGATCCGGTATAGGAGGGGAGGGATGGTAGGGATTTTGGGTGTGTGTGTTTTGATTTGTGTTTTTGTAAGTCTGTTATTTTTTGTGGTTTGTAAAAAAAATTTTTTTAATAAAAAGACCTTGTTCAAAAAAAAAAAAAAAAAAAAACCAACAAATGCTGTTGACTCAAATGTGTTGAGCTCCTGAGTTGGATTAAAAACCCACCAGAAAAGCTGCTTACTTTAGATAATAATAATAATAATAATAATAATAATAATAATAATAATAATAATAATAATAATAATAATAAATCTTCCTTTTCATTTTTTCCTTCCTAAGTGATTCGAATACAGCTATGAAACAATCGGCTCTTGTTAGTGAACTGAGTCAAAAGGTTCGAATCCCCAAAAAGATCCGGAAGTCCCATCAAACACGAGCAGCTCCCTCTAACGGCAGTGTACTGAATTACATGGTGGATCTGGTCTTCGTMAACCAACCAGGGAAAGAGGGTTTGCCATGATCTGGACCAAGGCGGATGAGACCAGAAACCTTTGTTCTTGCCTTTCCTCTCAGTAAAAAAAAAAAAAAACGGAATTCTGCAGCTTGTTCATGAGTCCGGTAAATGCGCACTGCTATTTCACGGGTTATCGACCGCAAATGGCTAGCTTAACTACCGGAAATTAGGAGACTTGAACCATTTTCGGATCGCGCTTTTTATGCTAGGTCCGTTTTTTTTTCTCCTGTAGCCACAACCCGAAGAGGCGACTTCCGGCCATTTTTTTAAACCCTTTTGTCAGCCGCTAAATGGAAATAAAACACGGAACCGAAAGTGGAAGCAACCGAGGTGCGTGTACACTCATGAATAAAACAAAAACAAACAATGCAGCTTTGTTAATCCTGAATTGTAGGTGGAAGCTACTTCGACCTTAGCTAGGCAAATATAAACAAGTGCTTTTGTCTTACTGTTAGTGATTGTTGTTTACCTTCACATCATGGGTCRGTTGTTGGTTTTGGCTTAGTATCTGTGTCACATGCCTTCATGGCTGACCACAGCTTTATTTTTAATACTGAATTATTCGTCCCTGTTACATCTACGAGAAAACCCAGCAGCTTTTGAAGCCTGATGTGAATGGTGATGTGTAGAGTCATTATTTTACGCACCACATGTTCACACGAGGCTGCTGAGCTCCTGGCTGTTTGTTGTTGTTGTTTATAACAACAACCAAATAATATTTAGTCCAACTCAGCATACCTGTAGTCATTTAAGCTAAAAAAAAAAAACTGCATTAACATCAGAAATAATGTAGCTGCTCGGTTATGGTCACCACAGTAACCACACACCTGTGTCTCACTCCCTGACTGCCAATACAATGAGAGCCAGACTGAAAAGTTATCCATCCATCCATCCATCCATTTTCTGTACACGCTTCTTCCTTTTCAGGGTCACGTGGGTCACTGGTGCCTGTTTTAAAAAAATACAAGTCATATTTTACATCTTATCAATCCCTGACTAACTCATAGTTAAAAAGTGATTTTTTTTTTTCAGTTTAATGTTTGGAACCGTACATCCAAATACGTAAAACATTTATGTTTTCATGTATAATTACCGTTAAGAGTTTAGCAGACAGCTCAGAAGTTCATCTCAGTGGGACGTTGTGTGGACAAAAATCTACAACAATGATGACACATAAACTGAGACTGCGCCTAAACCTTAAAATCTGTTAAAGTGCCAGATCAGATGTGCAAAGTCCAACTTTCTGTGACCCGTTTAAACTTTGATGTTTCTGCTGTGATGTCTGCCTGAGTTGCAGAGCTCCGAGAGGACGGCTGGGTTTCGTTATGTGCTCAGCCAGAATCCTCCTTTTTAAAATTTATTTCCTCACGTTTTGTTGCAGATTTTTGTCACGAGTTTTACCCAACTGTTCCAGATGAAGCCACATGTTTGGATGTTTAATTTTTTTTAAGCGGATATGTGTCTCACAGTTTATGTAACATGTTTTTAGGGCTGCGTGATGAATTGACTATTAGTTTTGCAAAACTGCTCCAAATTATCGGCTTTTATATTACAGATGTGCTTCATTTTGTGTGGTTGCTGGATTTAAACACAAAAATCTATTTTAATTTGTTGGATTTGTTGATTTTTATGAGATGATGCTCAGTAATTTTCTTTAAATACATTAAAGGAAAAAACAGTATTTTACACTGAAACGTGTGTGTGTGTGTGTGTGTGTGTGTGTGTGTG